CACACCCACACCCACACCTACACCCACACGCATACCCACACCCACACCCACACCCACACCCACACCCACACCCACACCCACACCCACACGCACACCCACACCCACACCCACACCCACACCCACACCCACACCCACACCCACACCTACACCCACACGCATACCCACACCCCACACCCACACTCATACCCACACCCATACCTACACCCACACGCATACCCACACTCACACCCACACCCACACCTACACCCACACGCATACCCACACCCCACCCACACCCATACCCACACACACCCACACCTCAAACCTACACACACTCTCACCTCAAACCTACACCACACCCGCCACTCTCAAATTCGTCTTGTTTCAGTTAGTGCATTGCATTTATCAACTCGGTAAAATGTCGTAAAATCTCGACAATAATAGAGCCGTCTAAATTAGCTCGAAGCTTCTTGACTTAGTGGTGTGCTGATCTGTTGTTGAAATTCACTAGCAAGGGCGATTGACTGTTGGCAAGCAGCCATCAACCATTCGTCACGTTCATTTGATCCGTCAGGCGTATTTTGAGCTAATTCATAGAACACTTCAATCGCTGCTGCACGAAGATGATATAATAATCTATCAGCAGTAAATATTGTGATACGTGCACGTTCTCTGAATAGATGCCTCATCGACTTGACTGCGTTTTGATCGTTACAATAGAGGTAAAAAAGAGTGTCATTAAATAGATTTCTTGATTCTCTGATAAGAGTCATATGACTAGCGGGAAGAAAAAACCGTATTGGCTGTTGTGTCTTCATCGAAAGGCTGATAATATGAATGACACACGAATGAGCTTTAATGAAACGATTGAAGATACGATTGTCAAAATGGACAGTATATGCATCATATTCACTGTTCGGATCAAAGAGAGTTAGTAACTGTGTGTTAACAACAGCCATTAAGAGTCTAAAAATCTGAAACAGTATTATGACAATGTTTATTGCGATCATAGAAAAGCAAGGTGTTTTTCTTTTATCAGTTTATTTTCTAAAATCAATGATTTAAGAGACTGAACTGTTGATACTTTTCGTCCTTTTCTCCTCTATGAAAGAAGCAAGACGCTTCGTAAGTGTTGTCCCTCGTTCAAAATGTTTACGAGCTGTTTTGATCTCACCCATTTGAGTGTATTGGTAACCCAATGTTCGACACTCGTCAGCCATGTCCAGTGTCCATCGAATAGCAAGACGTTCTTCATCTTCGCACAACATGCGTACTTTATAGAAACGAGTAAAAAGTTCATTCCGTTGGTCAATTGTTTTTGGAGATTTGTCCAATAAATAGATTGATTTGATATGATCGAGAGATGTGATATCGGCTAGTAAACGATCTCGTTCATCAAAAGAAATCGGTGAAATATCGATTATGATACTGCTTATTTGTTTGCTCTCATGCAATTCGACCATATATGCCTCGGCCCAAGCAATGAATACAATATGACCAGTGGTAAGTTCATTCAGAATTGAATGTAATCGAGATTGAATTGTAGCGAATTCAAGTAAAATGGTAGGATAGATCCATCTACAGCGACAAGTATCAGCATGTTAGGCAAAGAGAAAAAAGAATTTTTCAAACTTACTGATCAGCTATTTCCATCTTCCTCGTGCACCTAGACTCGCTCATTAATATTTCTCTACGCTGTTCTTCTGTTCCTCTCTGTATATTATATTCTAGCTCGTCAACGTGTACATATGGTTGCAGGGTAGCTCCCTCTTGTTGACGACTGAATGCATTGCCTTTCGGCGATTTATTTGAATCTTGCTTTGCAGCAAAAACGAGCTGCGTGTTTATTGGCACGTATTCTTTCGAGGTAGCCGGAAGATCTAGTTTGACAGTGCCTATCTTTTGAAGGTTTTCGCTCATACCAACGCCGGATATCGCAGATTTATTAGCCGATCTTGTGACGATCAACGGTTCATTGCCATTAGCCTGAGCTAAGGCTTTTATTTGGTTTATTAATTCGGCAACGACGCGAACTTTCGATTCACTGGTTTCACAATTGTTAATTACAAAATATCGTTTGCCACATTCGCGAATCAATTTCTGAAGAATGTTTTGTCCTTTATTGTCATCAAGTAAAAGTTTTTCGATGAGTTCTGTTGGTGTCATTTCGTTGTTAAAGACGGCATCGGCCCTTGTGAAAACCACAATTGTCCGACGCAGGATATTTTCACCGAAGATGTCTTGGATGTGATTGATAATTTGTATATCTACATTTGTCATATGATTTAAACTAATTACGATCAGACACACATGCAGACCAGGTTCTATTAGTTGAATCAATTGAGCTATTTCCGCCTCAAAAGAAGCATATGTTTGATTTGTATCAAACAAATCCGGTGTGTCAATGACAACAAGATGTGTTTCGTTAGACATACACTTCCACATCTGGCACTTTCGCGTAACTGTAGATTGTGATACACCGGTAGGAAATATGTCCGTTCCGAGCAATGAGTTGCATAAAGAAGTCTTTCCTGTTCAGAATCATACTATAGCAACTGGTAGACTGAAAAAAAGCAGACCGACTAACCTGTTCCGGTTTGACCTAGCACAACGATTCGAAGAGGGTTATCCTTATTATCAGAAGTGAGTGTTGCGGTGATATCTAAATTATAAATGAAGCTATTAGCCCAACTTCTGCAGTATTAAAATGTGTGACACAATGAACCTGTGTATATTGTATACTCGGAGACTGTGCAACATATGTTTCGGTTTGTGAATTTCAATGTACTGTTAACGTAAGGGGTGTGATGAAAAATGTTAATTGTAATACGTTATAGTGAGTATGAAAGAGAATGGAGAACAAGGATAGGAATCTTAAACGTAATCGTCTTTTATAATAATTCTGCAGTAAACTTGGGCTTCGCGACTATCCGGGAAAATGACATCTCGTCTCACCCCATTTTTACGACCTCCTGGTAAATTAGTGTGCTTACGATCCCCGGACTTGAAGAAAATGTCATGGTGTTCGGAATGAAGTTCGTAAATGAAATACAACAAAAATACAGGGTGTTCGGAATGAAGCCTGTGCAGGAGTTCAGAATCAATTTTTACAATAGCTTTTTCAACGATTATAACCATTGAAAAAGCTATTTTCAGAATTGATTCCGAACTCCATATAAATTTTTCTCTTTACGAACATCAAAATTTGGCTGAAGGTCGGAATCCGAACGTCCGGATGTTCGTAATGACGAAGACATGAGGGTTGTAATAAAAAGACGACACAATTGTCGTAAGTATGTTAAGTTTTGTTCACGTGTGAGAGAATATGAAGTGATATGCTAGTCTCGCAACCTAAAATCATGTATGGAGAATGCTTCGATGAATTCAAGCAATCAAGCTTGTGCTTCTGTTCACTATTATAATTCTAGTGTTAGTTACTATTCTTCTAATTCCTTCAATACACTCTATTACAAATATCAGTTTTATTGAAAGAAAAGATATACATTTTTATTCATAACTCTAGTGTTAATGTACATCATCGCTCCATTCATGCTTTGATGGATGTCTACGCTTCTTGACTCTAGCTATTTGTTTATTCTTCGATGTTGTAGCAGTGAGACATCGTTGAGAAGATGACGTGGAAGAGGACGATGAAGTAAAGTTAGACTCCAACAAGAAAAAAGATTCTATTCATTTGAATCATTTTCTAGAAATAAGCAATAAAAGAAAACCAACCCACTTCTTTATCATAGTATATTTTCCAAATGTATACTTTTCACTTTTCTATGAAGGTTCAGTCTGATTTATCTTTACTGGCCATTTACTTGTGTAGCCAATCATATTTGAAAGTAGACACTGTCCTTTTTTACTTTATATTATATTTTATTTTCACCTGGACTGTTGACACATCTTGGTATCATGAATAGATTAAAAGACGAATATTAGAAACAACTTCTAAAACTAGAGCATAGAGAGTATAGGTAGAGAAAGAATAATCTCCTACTCATATAATTATGAAAGTAATCAAAAATGCGATCTATTATTGTCTATACAAACAGAAAATCTTTATATCACTTACAATTTTCTGATAAATTCTTTTACGAACTCCATGTTAAAGCCCTCTGAGAATTACTTTCCGAACATCCGACCGTGCTCATTCCGATCTTCAGGTATTACATAAAATACAGCAAAAAATACTCTATTCCGAACACCCGGTAAACACATTACGATCTTCCTGCTGTCTCTTACGACCTCCGGTACATAGGTGTTTACGAACTACCGTCATAAATTTCTACGAAAAAAAATCATCTCCGAACACCCGGTAACATTTACCGGTGTTCGTAAGAAGTGAGACGAAACGTAAGTCACCCGACTATCTCTGTCACATTCTATATGGAAAGAGAATATCGGTGATAATCTCCTTTTCACCCTCATCGTCATCACTCTCAAACTAGTTTCTACTCAGTTGATCGCGATGTCGATATCTAAACGTCTTGGAAGACCATTCTGATAAATTCAGTTAGTCTGATGACCATCAGATATGTCAGCATTTCTCAATCCATACCATCTGATATTACACGATTTCTATAAAATTCATCACTAGCAGTGGTGTCCAAAATTTCTCAAATGCTGCATGAGAATGTAAATACTACAAGAGCATCTTTTTCAGATCTTCGCTAAGTATTCAGATACTCCTTCGATGGCTCTGCTAAGTTTTTCTGAATGATACGACTTTGGAGGAACCTCTGTACTAGCTTTATCGACTCATTTCTGCTTGATAGCAAGTCAGTTGTCATTTTTATGCGCATGGATACTACTCTTTAACTTAGGAGAAATTACTGATACTAACCTGGTGATGGTCGAGAGAGTGTTGTCGGTAGTTCCATCGGTTCTAAATTTGGTCTTTTCTTAACCACTTCAAATATTAGCTTCCTCCATGTCACGTGTTCACTTGGATTTTCATCGAAACGATGATATGCATCATCAGCATGCTTCCAATCACTTGAACATCGCTTTGGCGGGCCACTGTTGCAGATTTTTATACCCTCGTATCTCCACCAACAATTACTAAAGCCGCATGCTACCGGCTCAACATAGTATTTACATAAGGGACATATGGTTGTTTCTTGATCTGTATCAATCAATATATCGAATTTCTGGTAACCAATGGGCATGATAACTGTGTGACGATAAGCTTCACATTCCTTATTTAGGCATTGACCTTCAAAACACAGACCATGTCCAGCTCGTCGCCATCGTGGAGCTATTCTCGACCATTCAGCTTGTTTTAAGCCTTTAGTACTACAAACATCGACAAATCTGTTTCCAGTATTATTGCAGCTACGAAATTTCATATTGGGGTCAACTAATTCTAAGAGAGAGTTGTCTTCAACACCATAAGACATCAGCGTACGTTCATCTCGATCTAATATATCTCCATCAAAAGTGAAATATGACTCTTGAACATTTTGTTCATTGTAACAATCCTTTTCACAAATACATTGCTTTAGTTGTTTAATAGTAGTAGTGGGCTCTACATCAAAATTATAAAGTCGCCCAATCCCAGTGGGTCTTTGAACATATATCTTCATGGTAGCGCTTTCAAAAGAAAGAAAATAAAGTTCGTGAGACAACATATGTACGGGGAGTGTCAAAATGATTGCAACATGGTTTGTTTTGCAAATATCTCTGTATTGACAAATGATAAAATTTTCGTTCTTTCGCCAAAAGATCCGCCTTAAGAAGCTCAACTAACTCTATATTGACATATCTCTATCTACTGGTTCTGATGGTTTTCTACAATCAAAATAAAACTATAAGTAAAAATGCTATTTCTCACTATATTGAGCCTAGTAAAAATTTTTGAATCATTGTTTGTTTTGCATACATCTCGGGCTAGACAAACGATAACAACTTGACTTTTCCACAAAAGATGCGTCCTGAAAATCTCTACAAAGAACTGTAGGAACAAGTCTATATCGACATACTACAAGGGTTTTCCTAGATAGTTAACAGTGAAGATGCCCACAATGTTACTATGTCCTACCATACTGACAAAAATAGAAGTGTCTGAAAAATTTCATTAGTTGTTGTTCTTGTTTGATTGAAAATATTGCTAGGAGTCATCATCTCTCAAGTATTATCTTTTTCGTCCTGTCATTATTGTGATGTCATCATATACATATATTCCATCAATATCTTCTTTTTTTCTGTTGTCATTCGTGAATATATATGTGTTCTCTCTTCCAGTATGTTCCAGCATATTCGTTTCCCTCTATGTTGACCTTGTATGTTCTCTCTAGTACTCTCTAGTACTCTCTTGTGAATTCTTGACTTCATAGTACCATCTAGCATATTCCTTTTGTTTCGAACCATGTATATATATACCCCCGCTCGCAACAATAAAGTTGATTGTAAACACACGATAAGATCAACTTCCCTCTGACTTACAACTGGTTAGTGGTTGACTACCTTCACAATATGCTTTAATACTGCGCACAAAGACAAATCCAACCGGATTTGGTTCTCTTTATATGTACAGCGAAAGACTACACATCAGGAAAGAAGATAAGATGTTGTATAACTTAATGTGGTATTTCTAAAATAGGTCATAACAGCCAGCTAGGGAAGTTCTCGTAGTATGTCGATAGAGACTTGTTCGTATAGCTCTTTGTAGAGATTTTCATGACGCATCTTTTGTGGAAAAATCAAGTTGTTATCGTTTGTCTAGTCCAAGATGTATGCAAAACAAACCATGATTCAAACATTTTTACTAGGCTCAATATAGTGAGAAATAGCATTTTTGTGTACTTAAAAAGTAAGTACACTATAGAATCAGTCAGTGTGTCCTGCCGTTTACATGATAACTTTCGAAAAGAGAGTTCAATCGCGATGAAATTTTCTGCACAGTTTGGTCTCATCAATATCTCGATCGAGTTCGAAGATGAGAATGATTCGTCGAGCCCTTGCTGAGTTATCGCAAAAAGAGTCATTATTGCCTATGCTTTTCTATGCGAACATTGACCTATCCCGGTTTTCGTAAAAAACTTTTCCTCTCATAATCAAACAAAGCCCCAACTATTATACACCACTCGATAGAGAATTTCACGAGCTACAAAATGGTATATAAAACATTAAGAAACAAGAAGGCTAAGTCACCTATTGCAAAGATACTTAAACAGAAATTGCTTCTGTGTTTTTACTTTTTGAAGTACACATAACACTCGGCTTTAAATCCGAGGTTTCCACATTTTTATTGATGTTTTTTATTTTAATTGTAGAAAAACCATCAGAACCAGTTGGTAGAGATATGTCAATATAGAGATAGTAGAGCTTCTTAGGGCGCATCTTTTGGGGAAAGAACGAAGATTGTATTATTTGTCAATGCAGAGATATTTGCAAAACAAACTAGGTTGCAAACATTTTTGCACACACGGTATATATAGGACCAGAGACCTTTGCAGAAAGATCTTGTATTTTTGAAGGTTTAAAAAAAATGCTCTTTCGATTCATCTCTTGCAACCTGAAATAAACTTACTTTTTCAATCAAGATCGTTTTGAAAAATAACACTTTTCTAGATGATAAAAGCAGTCAGTAGTAATTTAGAAACATATGAGTCTAAAATTCAAAATCCCGCAAAACAAAATCAACCAAAAAACTACCGATATTTCGTTTTATACTAAGTTTTCACCAATGTGTCTGTTTAGGTCTCAACTTGTGAGCTTATAGATAAGCCGAAGTGATTTATAAATTCTACAATCCAAAAAATTGTTTTCTCGTGGTGTGGGCGTGGGTGCCGGTTAATGCAATGAATAAGCCGACACTCACACCTAAACCCATACTCACACCCACACCCACACCCACCCCCATGTGTCCAATGGATGCAAGAAAGTAAATCGGATAGATCGTTGACTGAGAATATAATCATCAGACGATCAGATTAACAAAAGCCTATCATGGATGTCGATTTCATTTCTGTCTCAATACGTTGTAATTAATATTCCAGTCATACATTGATTATGTTTATAACGTTTAGAAAACTCTAAAATCTCTTTTCTAATCATCATTATAAACTACTTACCAGAATGCAATAATCAAAATACACGTTTTCAAGAAAATTTCAATAATAATAATTTACAACTTGAGCGTGTGGGTGTATATGCGAGATGCGTTGTTTGTTTGTCGAAGGACTCTTTTGTTACTTGTGCAGCATAATAAAAGCTCTGCTTATGTTTTCTTTTTTCTACCTTGCTTTTTTTTTCAATTTCTGTCAAGCACGCGCTTTCTTAGGAAGCACTGCTTATGACAACAGAAAAATACTCAACACGAAGAGTAGACCAAAATGATGACAAACAAAGAAAAAAATAACATATTTGTAAAACGAAAGACATTTCAGATGGACTACACGCATCGATACGGGCGTGGGTGTGTGAGTGTGAGAGCGAGTGTGTGATCGTAGATATGAGTATGGATGTGAGATGTTGATCTGCCACATTCGCACCCACACCCCACACCCACATCGAAACAACTCGTTTACATGTTAATTATCAATCAGAATTAATTGCCATATATCAAAATGGGTGTGGGTGTGGGTGTGGGTGTGGGTGTGGGT